GTTGCATAAAGTGAGCTCCAGTGGAATGACAGCACTGTGCGCCAATCACAAAAAAAAAGATGGAACAAGCCCAATCAGGAGCTTGTGGGCGTTCTAAACTCAGGGAAGACGATTGTCTGTGTACCGTAGCCTAACATTGTTTTTGAACAGCAAAAAGTGCAGGGGACAAGAACGGACGTTTGAAAAAGTGCAGAGGACATGTCCCCCCTCCAAATTACGTCCATGCATTAAGGGATCCTTCTGAAAAACATCTTATTGAGAAGGATCAAACTGTCAACAACTGAAGATCAGTTGTTTATTCTGTTTCATTGCTCTGAAACGTGACAAGTCTAATGTGTTTTAAAGGCTGCAAATGTTTTACAACTGTTGTTGCTCCTAGTTACCATTATGGCTCTCAAACTTGAACTTTTATGATCTCTAAGGTTTGAAATAAAACAAAACACTGATAATCACCTAAGAAGCAACATGCTTCTAACATAACATAATTTTCTTAGATTACTTTCCCATAGTTTTTGGATCCAAACCTTCAAGCGTTTTCTTCAAAAGCTGACAATGAAAATAATTTTTTCATAATGACTGTGGACACCAGCATAAACCCAAACCAACAAAATAATGTCAAATAAGAAGAAAACCCCAATTCTGTAATGGTTTAATCACTGCAAAATTAAAATGGATTAAAAAGCAGCTTATGTTCTCATAATCTGAGAGAAATTAAGAATCTTTGCACAGATGAGTGGAAATGTAATGTCCCTTGTTTTCCTTTTCTTCAACCTAGGTGTTTGTTTTTCAGCTGAAGGTAATGGGATCAATGTCACATAATATTTAAAACAAACGTAAATAAAAAATCTAGACTGAAAATCCCAAGAGTAGACTTTTGATAGCTATGACTCACAAGAGCAGATTAATCATAGACGACAAAAGCCAGCTGCATTAAACAACTCATTAAATTGTAATGACTTGTAAATTTCTGACGGCCCTTTTTTCAGTTGCAATCCTAGTTTCTCTGAAAAAAGATTGTGGTTTGAGAAAAAAGGTTCACAGCGACTGATCTCTGACATCTGCAGGGCAAACATTAAGGGAGTTTTACCGAAGCTGCTTGGGTTGCTTACCTACCATTCAATTCAATGGTAGGTTCAGCTATCTGCTGAGGCCAACTGGGGTTCAAGGAGACAGAAGCATAGACACAAAAAGCAGCTGCGGCCCCGTCCAGGAAATACACAGCCAGGCTGACGAGCTCCAAGCCAGCTCCCATGTACCTAAAGGAATTTAGGTACAAATGAAACAGGACTGTGTGTCACTAGTTAGCAAAATAGTTGGAAAACCTAGAAACCTATAAGAAAGAAATCTCAGAAAATCAAACAGAGGTTTAATTCTCTTTTCATTTAGATTTAGCTTTTTAACTCTAGTGGGATATATTTAAGTAGTATTTTATTCCCACTGCTATCAGCATTTTAGATCAGACTAATAAATACATAACTGAAACCAAATAAGTTGTATTTTTTACTTAATTTATTACAGGATTTTGTAATAAGGTCTTTTCACTCTTTTTGTTTCAATTTTGCCTTTTCTTTTGCCTAGTCTTGGTAATTATTTTCCACTGCAGATTTATAATTAGTGCATATTTCTAACATGTATATGTATGGCCTTGAGTTTGCAACTAACTCACTGAAATATTCCCATTTGCACTTTTGGGCGTTTTACAGCTACCAGTATAGACAAGTTGATTGGTGTTTTGATACTTGTTTGGCTCTTGTAAACCAGCTTGTTTAACTGGTCACCTCAACCTCTCCCATTACAACCTCTGTATGAGCTGATGTTTGTATCCCGGAAGAACTGGCTAAGCTTTGATTTTAACTGTAAATGCGACAGACCTTCTTCCTGAAGGCAGGCTAGCTTTTTCGTTTTTGCATAATCAGATAACGTTGTTGGAATGTCATGCAGCTTCATAACACATAACACATTTCAAAGCTATTCTTAGAAGCATGAGGACTGTATTCCTTCTATGGAGGAATGAAAACAGTATAGGTATATATTGTCTAAGCTTTATTTACTGTTAAATTGTGATTAAGGAGATCTTTAACAGCAACTGGAAATTACAACTTCCAGTTCTGCTGGATGCTCAGTTCACCTGCTGATTTGCAGGTCACACATCAGGATCAGGCACAGATATTACCACAGAATTCCTCACCCTCCTCCCTTTTCAGGGGTGAGGCAAGGATGGGTGTGACCACAGCTGCAGGAATGTAGTTGTGTGTGTGTTTTAAACTCCCGCCGTGGCTGTGAGCCAGTTCCTTGTCTGTTTGACGTGCACGCTAACACACACACCTGCAACTTCTGACTGTAACATCAGGTAAATATGAAATGACAGAGAAGACCGGTGAAGGAACAGAGGCTGGTGCAGTTCCACAGGTTTCTGTAAAACTGGACAAACGGCGTGAATCAGCTCAACAGGAGAATCACTGTGGAGGGAAACGGCTGTGGGACCTGATTTTCACTCAAAGTTGCTGCGACCGGATTTTGCCTATGATTTTCTATTTTTATTTAATTTTTTTATACTTAAAAGCATGTAAGGCATGATAAATTGGAGACAGCAGTTTAAGAATAAAGGAAACTATCAGACCAATCACAGCGGGAAAATGTCTTCACGCCCTGTGACATAAGTAAGGATCCTACAGGTAAGAGAATCACATATTATCTCCTCAATAAAAACCCCAGATATTTTTTTTTATTTTGTTTTTATCTGGTGTCATCAGTTCTCCAGGATGTGTCTTACTATGGCATATCAAACAGACCACAAATCCATGTCTTAACTCTCACATGGGGCGAGTAATATGTTTTGGTCTAAATACAGAGGTCATTGACCTGGGGTGAAACTCAGACGTTTTGAACTTTGGAGTCAGGGTCTCCATCTGAAAACATAGCTTGGTGTTTTATTAAGATAAACAAATGCTTCAGCTTTCAACTCAGTTTAAAGAAAGTATCAGGTTATTATATCTAAAACAAAGCAAATAAATCAGTTAAATCAGATCAATTTATTTTAACTTCCATTACTTTAGAGACAATCTAATTAAAGAAAAGGTCCCCGTAAACAAGGCTAATTAAATCTAACTGATCCATGTTTTTGTGTCTACCCCTGTGAATTCTATACATCTTAGGTGAGAAGTGTAAACGAAAGCATGATGTTGTTGAAAGAAAGTCCTTGAAGACTGCAGAATGAAAGTTTGCTCTGATTATCTATAAATGATCCTATCGTCGCTGAGAGAATGCAGGATGTTTATTACTGTAGGTAGCTGGTTTAAACCAAGATGTGATTACAAGAGCAAGACTTAGACAAATGAACGGCCCAGTCTAACACTAGGACAACCAGAACTAGACCAGCAAATTGGACTGGTGAGGGATGATATGTGAATGAGACTTGGACAAAATACCAACCTCCTTTGAGTCCTTTGGGCAGGAAAACTAGAGTCCATCTGAGACCAAGGGAATATGAGACAGACTTGGGCTACAGGAAATGCTCTCAGGGTGACTAAATACTGAGAACTGGCAAACTAGACCCAGAACAAAGTAGAGAGACCAGGCCAACCAGGGTAAAATTGGAACCAAATTAAACTAGCCACAGTCCATTTTAATTTAGTCAAACGGGACTCCCTGTGAGACCCGACAAACCCGAGTCTTAGTGAGACTAGCTGAATATGAACCAGACTGTGACTAGGTTAACTGCTGCCAGACAGACAAAACAGATTGAAAACTGGTAAATCACAGAAAGAAAAAAAGAAAAAAGAGATCAGGTCGACAGAGTCAGACTAAACATAGCCAGACCAAGATCAAAATGAAACAAAGAAATTTTAAGTTTGACTGAAATCAGGTGAACAGGAGTCAAAGATAAACAAGGCTTGGCTATTTCCAACTAACACCAGCAGTACCAGAGTCTGATTAAGACCTGGAGACACTGAACCTAGGCAGGACAAATAAACCAAAGTTAAACCAAGACCAGGTCCTAATAAGACTGGCTGAGCCAGACTCAGACTAATCAAGGCAAGGTAGAGTTAAAGTCAGACACTGTTGAGTCATAGCACCTTTACTGTCATCAAAGGCAGGCGGCACTTTGAAGATAAATGCTGGTTACCTCACCGACCCAACATTTTTTAAAAATTTGGACGCGACTGGATGCTTTAAGTCCAACATAAGACTTATACTTAGACAAACTTAATTGTCATTTTGTACAAACAGAGTGTATACAAAACAAAAGTTCGATGCATACAGCTTTTCAACAGTGAATGATGAGCTTAGCAGTGAAATAAACATTTCCATTTATAAAGTGCAGCAGTGATCAACATGTAAACAGTGTAGGATAGACATTGTGCAAAAGGCATTGATATGAAAGATTCAGAGAAGTGCAAAGATAAATAAATATGGTGCAAAATGTAGTCGAAAAACTGAGTTGAATTCTATTTAAAGGGATTTGAAGATTCGCCATATAGTACAAATATGATCTTTACAGTGTGATGCAGAGTCTCCCCATCAGGGGAGGACTCAGAGTAGAGCTGCTGCTCCTCCACATCGAGAGGAGCCAGTTGAGGTGGCTCAGGCATCTGATTAGGATGCCTGCTGGACCTCTCCCTGGTGAGGTGTTCCAAGCACGTACCACCAGGAGGAGGCCCAGTGGGAGGCCCAGGACACGCTGTTCAACGGTCTTATGGCAGAAATGGAAAAAGCTGTTGCAGAACTTGCTGGTCCTGCATCAAATATTGTGAAGCCTCTTCCTGGAAGGCAGCAGGGAGAACAGTGCATGGTGCGGGTGAGAGGGGTCGCTGATGATGTTATGTGCTCTGGACACGCAGCGCTAGGATGAAAGCTCTGATGACCTCTCTGTTATTCTCACCTTCTTCCAGTCTGAGGCGCTGCAGCCTCCACACCACACAGTGAGACAAGCTGATTAAACTAAACGTAATGTTGTCTACCTGTGTTTCTGTCTTTCAAGTTCATTTTTGTTGTAAACCATGGCATCTGGAGAGAAAGAGTCTCGAGGGAGAGGCCTTGCTTCTCTCTTTCCATGCTGCAACAGAGAAAATGACCAACCAGAAATTCGCTACTGTGGTGAAAATGTCAAGGCGATGGAGCCTACAATGCCCATGCCTCCCATCCAGGAGCTGAACTCCAAGTTCAACGAACTAGTGGTGCGTTCAGGGCCACAGTTTCTGCCAGTTTTTGGAATATAGGTTCAGACATTAATCACTCTTTTTTGTTTTCTCTAGGATGAACTGGAGCTTTCAGAGAAGCACAGAGCGGCCATGTTTGCTTTGCCACCAGAGAAAAAATGGAAGCTTTACTGGAGTAAGAAAATGGTAAGAACCTTTATAAAAAGTCTACCTTATATTCAGCTCATTGGTAATACTCAGACCTCCGATTCTGTTCAGACTCTATTTTAGAACTGATTGCTTGAAAAATATTTAAACCAAGTTCACTGTTTTTTGTTTCTGTGAAAACTATAGATCTTAGGCCTTGGCCACCTCTTAATCTGACTTTTCGAATAGTTCCAAAAAAAAAAAAAGAAGAGTTTTCCAATTTCTTTTTCTGATTCAGCTAGTAAATTAATGAGCTTTCATCTTGTTATTGATGCATTCTATTACAATTTCTCTCAAGAGGTTTTTAGGCTTTGGGCTTGTTTGGTTAAAATATTCTATTTAATTTTTAACAGCACTTTGTGAAATATTTAGATACATTTGTGCAGTCTGAATGTAGAAATATAACCCTCTGCGAGATACAGAATGAGTTTAAGCATGTTTTGAAGCCAATGATATTTTAGTATATTCCTGATGTCCAGTCAGCATAGGGATGTCCTACAAACCTGTGTGTATATACATGTGGACGCAATTGTTGGTATTCCTCATTTAATAAAAGAAAAACCCAGGATAGTTATAGAAATTACTTGAATATGATAAAAGTAACAATTAACAAAAAATATATGGAAATTAACAAAGTGTTGGTGTCAGGTGTTGCTGCTAAACCATGCTTTAACAGACTGATAAAAAAAAAAAAAAAAACTTTTGGAACAGGCCTGGACAAAAATTATGGTACTGAAATAATGTGCCCAAACATGTCAAATCAAGGTGTGTCCACTAATTAGCATCATGTTTCTACAATCTTGTAATCAGTCAGTGGGCCTTCTGGTGGTCACAGTGTTGCTTTGTGACATGGTGCGTACCACACTCAACATGGGCCAAAGAAAGCGAAGGAAAGAGTTGTCTCAGGAGATTAAAAATAAAACTACAGGAAAGTAAATTAAATACAAAGGCTATAGGACAGTCTCAAAGCAGCTAGATATTCATGTAACTACAATTGTACATGTTATTCAGAAATTTAAGATCCATTTAAGATTCCTCTTGGGCTCCCTTGCTTTAAATGGCACTGGGTGTCTTAAATCTCTACAGGTTACAATACAACCTCGTATATGTAGGGATTCTAGGGGGGAAATGTGCTGCCAAGTGTCAGGTTTCAGTTGCAGGACATGGGTGTTGCAACAGGATAATGACCCAAAACACCATGCGAAAAACACCAATCAATTGCTTGGTAGAAAAATTTGGACTATTCTGAAGTGGCCTTCAATGAGCCCTGACCTTAATCCTGTTGAGTATCTTTAGAAGTAACTGAAACATGCCCTCTGGAAAAGGCCTCCTTCAAACCCTTAGACAACTAGAGGAGTTTGCTCGTGAGGAGTGGAGCAAAATACCTGCTGAGAGGAGCAGAGGTCCATTGACAGTTACAGTAATGGTTGGTGGGACCATTATATTTGTCTAGGCCAGTTATATGAGTTGTTTTTTTTAAGATTGTTTTGTTGAATCAAGTTATAAAAGAATGGTCAGATTTTAAATTCAGTTCTTTTCAGTTTATGTATATAGCACCAGTTCCCAACATATCATCTCAAGGCACTTCTGTCAACCAGATCATACAATGCGATGTGTTCATAATAAGGAAAACCAGATGATTACATTGACTCTTTCACTCGACACAAATCCCTCACACCGAGCATACTTGGAAAAGGCAGTGGAGGGGAAAACTCCCTTTAAACAGTAAGAAATATCCAGCAGAAACAGTTTGAGCGGCCTTCTTTGAGCCAGCTCCCATGTCAGAGGATTTAAGAAATCACTAGTGTTGCGCTGATGCCATTTTTTGGCCCCGATACCGATACCCGATACCTGGCTGTGCAGTATCGGCCGATACCGATACCATAATAATGTAAAATAATTGCCATCACGGCTTTGTCGAGCTGCTGCCTACCTTTGTGAAGCAGGAGAAAATCTAATATACAGTGAATCCAGTAGAACTTTTTATTGCCTACCAGGAGTAGGTGACAATAGTTGAATAAACTTATGGCTCTCAAAATGGTATTGGTGCCCTATTTGTTGGTACTCACCGATACCAATACCACCATTTTTGGGCAGTATCGGGGCCCCGTCCGATACTGGTATTGGTATCAGTGCAACACTAGAAATCACACATAGTTAGTCACAGTAAGAGAAACAGGACTACACTGAAAAAATATCCAACATCTATAAACAAAGGTGTTGAAGGCATCAGCCCAGCTGATATTTGATTTTGATCTGGAGCCACAGCCTCATAGGAACAGACCAGATGAAGCTACTATGACAAGAAAAAACAGAGAGAACATAAAGTTACAGGTGGAACATAACAAACACTTCATAATGTGTAATAGAATGAAGCAGAAGGATGAAAACGGGCCCCTATGTCCTCTAGAAGTCTAAGCCGATATTTCCAGTTTTTTTTTTTTAAGATAATTTATATGTGTTATTACTTTGGTCAGAATCAAGTTATTTCTTTGTCCTTTGTGGGTTTTTCTTCCTTTAAGCGGGGGCTTTCTATTCAAAGAAACTAAATTGGTCAAAGATAATAGCTGCTATAGTGGGGGAACTAATATGGTCCAGGGTAAGAGTGTATACTAATGACTGTTTTGTGGGTTTTTCAGGATGCAGACGGGGAAAAAGGAGCAACTAGCTGGCCTGAATTTTACATTGACCAGCTGAACTCAATGGCCGCTGTGAGTTATTTCTGAACATTTCGTCCATCATTCTGCAAAAGAGAGATGTATCACTCACTCAGAAGAAGCCAAAACTCCTCAGCAGGGTATCTTTTGAATGCTGAGGAATTTTGTTGATTTCACCCATGTCTCCTCAGAGGAAGCCTCTGCATGCATTGGATGAAGAGGATCAAGGCAGACTGAAGGCTGTTGATGGTCTGAAAACAGCTCTGCGGACTCAGCCAATAAGGTACAATTACTTAATCAAAGCAATAAACACGCCTCTGACTGACAGAGCACTTCAAGATTAACTACTTTCACTGACCTGCAGATTCGTGACTGGCTTCCTTGAGCAGGATGGCCTCTCCTGCATCCTTAACTTCCTAAAGTCCATGGACTATGATACGACGGAATCCCAGGTTCACACGTCATTGATCGGCTGTATCAAGGCTCTGATGAACAGTTCTGATGGCAGAACCCATGTCCTGGGACACCCAGAGAGCATCAACATCATTGCACAAAGTCTAGTTGCAGAAAATATAAAAACCAAGGTGTGTGGATGTAGCGTTTGCAATTCTATGATGATAGCTCCTATGTGTAACAGCTGTTGCTACATAGAAACAAAATGTATTTGTTAAATAATGTAAAAATTACATAAACATATGATAAATGTGTCTCCTGAGGTGGAACATTTTTGCTATTGGCTTATTCACTAGATGGACAGAAGTCCTAGCGTTCAGTTCCCACAAACCTCTTCATTCCGCTTAGCTATTGGGGAAATCTAATTGAAAAGACATTTTGTTCTGAATGGACCATATTAGATAGAAGCAGGACAGATAAAGAACGTTCTGCTGCATCTGCTTCGTCACTCTGCTCCCTCAACACCCTACAGGTTTCCTGGTCTGTTCAATCAAACTTTGTGGCATATTCAGGTGGAAGGCATGTTCAGAGCAGACAGAGTTAATCAATTCAATTCAATTCAATTCAGTTTATTTATATAGCTCCAAATTCACAACACATGTCATCTCAAGGCACTTTACAGTTCACCGGATCATACAGTCAAATTGATACAAAGTTTTCTATCTAAGGAAAACCAGTTGATTGCATTGACTCATTGACTCAAATACAATCCCTCACACTAAGCATGCTTGTAGCGACAGTGGAGAGGAAAAACTCCCTTTTAACAGAAAGAAACCTCAGCAGAACCAGGCTCAGTGTGAGCGGCCATCTGCCGAGGCCGACTGGGGTTCAAGGAGACAGAAGCAGAGATACAAAAAGCAGCTGTAAAAGGCGGCCCCGTCCAGGAAACACACAGCCAGGCAGACAAGCTCCAAGGCAGCTCCCATGCCAGAGGACGAAGAGAGCACATCCACTCAGTCACGGTCAGAGAAACAGGACCACACTGGAAAACAGGCCGATCTCCAACATCTATAAACAAGGGTGTTGATGGAAGCAGCACAGCTGATGTTTCTTTCCAGGATGACGTCACATCGAACCTATATTAACTCCATTGGGCCCCTTTCCAGTGTTTAAACCTGTGGTTTTCTACAAGGTCAATCTTTGAGTGTGTGCCCCACTCAACAAAGTACCAGGACAGTATTTGACCGCTCCCTTCCCTGAGCAACCAAAACATCAAACAGACCAAACCTGTAAAATTCTGACTGTTAGCTTCCCAGAGACAACATCTCCATGGGAATTTCAGCTATGCAGTTAAAGTTTGTTCTTAAAATCCATTTGCCAGTATCAACACAAAACCCACATGCAAGTTTCACTTCAACATGCCAGCTGGCATAGGAATTTGAGAAAAATACTTGCTGGTAGATGTTTCACCAGAAAGTAAAACATTGTTTGAGGAAACGAAGTCATATTTTCAAATACTGTGTCCCTAAAATCTCTTAAGTTATATATATATATATATTTTTTTTTTTTGTAAACTTATCTCAAGTCTATTTGTCTCTATATCCTCAGGTGGCAGTCTTGGAGATCCTCGGTGCTGTTTGTCTCGTCCCAGGAGGTCATAAGAAAGTCTTGGAGGCGATGCTGCACTACCAGAACTTCGCCTCAGAAAGAACTCGATTCCAGGTCTGTTTTTGGAACAGTAAACAAGAACTAATATACAGGTGCTGGTCATAAAATTAGAATATCATGAAAAAGTAGATTGATTTCAGTAATTCCATTTAAAAAGTGAAACTTGTATATTATATTCATACATTACATACAAACTCATATATTTCAGATGTTTATTTTGTTTAATTTTGATGATTACAAATGACAACAAATGAAAATCGCAAATTCATCATATCAGAAAATTAGAATATTACTGAAGACCAATAAAAACAAAGGATTTATAGAAATGTTGGCCAACTGAAAAGTATGAACATGAAAAGTATGAGCATGTACAGCACTCAGTATTTAGTTGGGCCTCCTTTGGCCTGTATTACTGCAGCAATGCGGCGTGGCATGGAGTCGATCAGTCTGTGGCACTGCTCAGGTGTTATGATAGCCCAGGTTGCTCTAATAGTGGCTTTTAGCTCTTCTGAATTGTTGGGTCTGGTGTATTGCATCTTCTTCTTCACAATACCCCATAGATTTTCTATGGGGTTAAGGTCAGGAGAGTTTGCTGGACAATTAAGAACAGGGATACCATGGTCCTTCAACCAGGTACTGGTAGCTTTGGCACTGTGTGCAGGTGCCAAGTCCTGTTGGAAAATGAAATCTGCATCTCCAAAAAGTTGGTCAGCTGCAGGAAGCATGAAGTGCTCTAAAACTTCCTGGTATGTGGCTGCGTTGACCCTGGACCTCAGAAAACACAATGGACCAACACCAGCAGATGACATGGCACCCCAAACCATCACTGACTGTGGAAACTTTACACTGGACTTCAAGCAACGTGGATGAAGTGCCTCTCTTCTTTTCCTCCAGACTCTGGGACCTTGATTTCCAAAGGAAATGCAAAATTTACTTTCATCAGAGAACATGACTTTGGACCACTCACCAGCAGTCCAGTCCTGTTTCTCTTTAGCCCAGGCAAGACGCTTCTGACGCTGTCTGTGGTTCAAGAGTGGCTTGACACAAGGAATGCGACAGCAGAAACCCATGTCTTTCATACGTCTGTGTGTGGTGGTTCTTGAAGCACTCACTCCAGCTGCAGTCCACTCTTTGTGAATCTCCCCCACATTTTTGAATGGGTTTTGTTTCACAATCCTCTCCAGGGTGCGGTTATCTCTCTTGCTTGTACACTTTTTTCGACCACATCTTTTCCTTCCCTTCGCCTCTCTATTAATGTGCTTGGACACTGAGCTCTGTGAACAGCCAGCCTCTTTAGCGATGACCTTTTGTGTCTTGCCCTCCTTGTGCAAGGTGTCGATGGTCGTCTTTTGGACAACTGTCAAGTCAGCAGTCTTCCCCATGATTGTGTAGCCTATAGAACTAGACTGAAAGACCATTTAAAGGCTTTTGCAGGTGGTTTGAGTTAATTAGCTGATTAGAGTGTGGCACCAGGGGCCATCAATTTTGAACCTTTTCACAATATTCTAATTTTCTGATATGATGAATTTGAGATTTTCATTTGTTGTCATTTGTAATCATCAAAATTAAACAAAATAAACATCTGAAATATATGAGTTTGTATGTAATGTATGAATATAATATACAAGTTTCACTTTTTAAATGGAATTACTGAAATCAATCTACTTTTTCATGATATTCTAATTTTATGACCAGCACCTGTAGAGTTTTGGATGTTTCATTTAAAAGAGGAAAAACAACAACCACAAAAAACAAGCACACAAAAAAAAAAATCCTTGAAACACCCATAAATACAGAAGCCTATATTACCTTATGGCAGTTTTTTAATGTTTCTGATAATCTCTGCAAAACATGTAAGGAGTAGATGTGAAAGTTACATATACAAAAGCATTTTAACAATCTTTAAACTGAAGCTGTGAGTTCAGGGTCCAGGTTAACAGTTTTTGTTTGGTCAGCCTGCTGTTGCACACATAAGAATTCGACCACTATATGCACACAACCTGAAAGAATTCAAAGATTGCAAGCATTGAGCAAACATAAGTGAAGTTACAGCACTAAATGTGAATGTTTGGTCCGTGTGCTAGGGTGTAGGGAAATTTTGAAGCTCATACTTCTTGAAATAACCATTGCCTTTTATTTACAGCCCGAAAACAATTCTGTGGATGTGCAGATAACATGAAATCCTAACCACGTTGGCGCTTCTCTATAGAATTTATGTCTGTAGGCTGAGAAGCCAATTAAAGAGAAAATGTTTGTGTCCAGTGAACCACTTATGTGTTGCTCTGCATTTGTTGTAGATAATTAGTTTCCCCTAAACGGTCCAACAAATATTTATTTTGTTTTATGTGAAGCCTGTCACACATAAAATCTCCTTTTTTTAACCTAGGACATGTCTGGAGATATTTCTACTTGGAAAGCCCAATCTTTTTATCATCTGAAAAATTAGTTTAGCAAACTTAACATGCAAATGTTTTGGATTTTAGACTGGACAAAGCCTTCTGTTTGCAAGCCTCCAAAACAATGTTCAAATACTGTAGTCTCCAGTGGTTGCTATAGAGACATGCTGAACCTTTACTGTCATAGTTGCAACATAAACTCATTCAGCAGTGATCACATTTCCAGTTATAAACTTCTTGAACATTACTTTGTACATTGTACATTAATCCATCTTACCTAAATATGTTGTCCTCATATGAAAAGTGGCAAAAATAGCTATTTTTTTCTGCTCCAAATTAAATTGTTAGGATGCAATAAATCCCTGCGATGGACTGATAACCTGTCCAGGGCGTAACCCGCCTCTCCCCCGTAGACAGCTGGAGATAGGCACCAGCGATGGGATAAGCATGACCGACAATGGATGGATGGATGTAATAAATTACTGTTTAGTAGTTTATAAACATTTACTTTAAAAACATTTTTTGCAAATAGTCAATTGTTTGCAATGTGCCACGACTGATTTGTTAAAAAATAATTAGTACTTTATGAGTTTTTTTTTCTCTTTCTTGAGTAACTGCAATCAAAGGTGGCAATTTTCTAGACAATGAACTGCATTAAGTTATTCAAAGATCCTCTGCAGATTTTATCTATCACTGAGGACCTGGGGTTTAATTCTCGCTGTTGAGCTTAAATATGGTAATGATTAAAAGATATAACAGAGGCAGACTAGAAAAACAACCTGCACAAACATGCTGGAGATACCTATCATAGATTATCTGATAGATAAGATAAATTATAGTAAATGAAGCAAGTGTAAATCAGTAGCAAAGTTTGATTAGTAATATTTAACCTGGGCTGAAAATCACACGAATAGATATTTAACAGCACATACAATCAATGCTAATTATTCAACAAGTATTTTGAATAATTAGGGAAATTAAAACTATGAAATAAAAGTTATCTGTCCAGATTAATCAGTCTTTCAGAAGATTATAGGAAGTGACAAGGTTTTAATCATAGAATACTCCCTACATATCTGTGTGTCCAGCTCTCTGATAACAGTCAGCCATCATCTCCTTACTTTCTATACAAACGATTCAAGCTATCAAGTAAACATGTTTTATCTGATTATTTAGGTAAAGGTTGTGATAAGGACCTGATAAAGTGTGATAAGTGACAAGTTAAACTTAAATTCTTATTTTTGAAATGTCGGGGAAAGCCAGAGTATATGGGGAGAACCCATGCATGCATGAATCCAAGAAAAACATAAAAGAATCTCCATTTGCAAAGCCCCTAGACTACAATTTGAACCTAGGACTTTCTTGCTGCAAACCATTTCAGTCACATAGCACCGCTATAAACATCAGACTTTGATCATACACTATTTATATAATAAAATAATTATTTAAAAGTATCATTAGGTTATTAAAAATAAATACAAAATGTATTTAAGAAATATGTAATTTATTATATAGGCCTCAGTTCAATGTAATGATTTTATTTAATAAAATAAATATGATTTTTTTATGATTACATGTTCTTGCGCTGAAACACTATGAATTATTTTAAACTGTCACTGATCCATTAGTCAAAAAGAGGGATAATAATAATCATTCTACAGATATAAATATATTTAACTATATATTTCTATAATTAATTGCATTTTTATCAGTTTTTCATCAGTGATTCATTTAAATAATCATTTCAAATGTTATTTATTTGATATATTGCGGAACTCGTTGCCCTCCATAATCACCAAGATGGTGACGTCAAATAAAAAACAAAAAACAAAAGAATAACTCAACTAAAATAAACAGCTTCCATACACAGCCTGGTCTAAGAAAATAAGTATGTAAGATGATCATTTAAAATAAAATGCTACGGGTATTTTTTAATGCAGTGTATAAAAAAAAAAAGGCCATCCAAAGGAACTAAAGAGTAAAAAGTATACCGATTATGATTAGTCTGATTAGTTGTCAAAAGATTGCTCACAATCTGTCTTGGCTGTCTGATAAAATTAACATGATTTACCTGAAATAATAGTAGGGTTGTGCAGCGGGTAGAACTGCTGCCTTGTAGCAAGAAGGTTCTGCAATTGATTCCCAGCCCAGGGTCTTTCCGTTTGGAGTTTGCATGTTCTCCTTGTGCATGAGTGGGTTCTCTCCGGGTACTCCGACTTCCTCCCACAGTCCAAAAACATGACTGTTGCCTTAATTGGCTTCTCTAAATTCTCCTTAGGTGTGAGTGTGTGTTTGGAAATGTTTGTTTGTTTTTTCTGTGTTGCCCTGCGATGGACTGGCGACCTGTCCAGTGTCTACCCTGCCTCTTGCCCACTTACAGCTGGAGATAGGCGTCAGCACCCCTCGCGACCCCAGCAGGGATAAGCATTATGGAAGATGGTTGGATGGAAGGATAAAATATTATTGTCCCACCAGACCTTCGGTTTCTGTAGCTCCTTCAAAGTTGGCACGGGCCTGTTAGCAGCTTTTTTTTATTCATCCTTTATTTACTTGGACTATAGCTGTAGCTAGGCAGTCATTTCTTGGTAGTTGTGTTTATGCCATACTCTTTCCATTTAAAAATGAAAAATATGTGTAAAACTTTTAATGGGGTCTCTATTGGTCTCCTGTGTGGATAAAAGTGTGCTTATGATCATACAAGGCTGCTGGAGGGACCTGGATAAAAGACAGTTAAAGGTTACAGTTTTACATTGTGTTCTAAGTAAAACCAAAAAGATGGAATAATAGCATGGACTAGAATTTGGGGGATGCCTTAATTTGACGTTTTCTGTGTGCAGAACCTGATGACAGACTTGGACCGGTCCACAGGTCGATACAGGGATGAAGTCAGCCTGAAGACGGCCATCATGTCCTTCATCAATGCTGTACTCAGTCAGGGAGCTGGGCAGGTAAACCATATTTTTGTCTTTTTGTTCTTTGATCAGGTTCCAGGTTCCTTTATGTCTCCTGTTTTATCGTATCTCAGACCAGCCTGGAGTTCCGGATCCATCTGCGCTATGAGTTTCTGATGTTGGGCATCCAGCCAATCATGGATAAGCTTCGGTCCCATGAAAACATCGCCCTAGACAAGTAGATGAGGCATTCACCATTCAGATTGTTTCAGTCTTGGTTCTTTGTCTATAATCAACTTTCTTTTCAGGCACATAGACTATTTTGAGTCGTTGAGGAAAGAAGATGAGCTTACGATGGGTAGACGTTTTGATGGCGTGAGTAGTTGTCATATTTTTTACTGTTCAGATGGGAAATTCTTACAATTTGAGTCAGTTGTTGATAGCCTTGACGTTCTCTGTTGTTCTTCAGATCCACATCAACACTAAGAGCGCGAGCCAGATGTTTGATTTGATCAGGAATAAACTAAACAACACTGAAGCTTACCCTCACCTTCTGTCTGTGCTGCAGCACTGCCTCATGATACCATGTAAAACATTACCTACCATTTTTATGCTGTTTGTCTGTGCTCATTTCATTGTTTTAACAGCAGAATTAATTCAAAATGGGTCTATATATAGATAATAACAGCAGGACCACGCTGCAATACTGGGTGCTGTTGGACCACATAATTCAGCAGCTGGTTCTGCAGACGGATAAAGGTGAAGACCCAGACATGGCCCCACTGGAGGACTTCAATGTAAAGAATATTGTGCGCATGTGAGTTCAAACATTTAAAGAGTATCTAAGAGTAACATTTAAAATAGCTAAGGGTATTTTTAAATGCAATTGAATGTAAATAACAACCATCCAAAGAAACTAAAGAGTAAAAAGTATACCGATTATGACGTCTGATTAGTTGTCAAAAAATGATATAAGCAAAAATAAAAACATTGTTATGTGCAAAACCTTGTTTTAAAGACGAAAATCTAACATATATAAAACATATTTATGAAGAAGAAACACTTTTTCAATCAATTGTTTTCTAAATAAACTTATTAAACCAATACTTAAATGTATTACTTTTTATTCACTTGATTTCCAAATGGCACGGTAGATAGAAAATAACAATAACTACAAAGCTTTTGTTAACTTAACCCTACATGTCACTTTATCTTTATATGCTATGTTTGTAAAAAGTTAAATGGCCAAAGTACTCCACATTGCATTCAGTTATTCACAAAGGGACTGTGGTAACTTTAATTGTAGCCACAGCTGCCCTGTGGTGCAATGACTGAAGGTAGGCTGCCGTACACAGGCACCACCAGGCCCTCTGATTACCATCTGTTGGTGATGCAGGATAAGTGTCTTGCCCAAGGACACAATGATTGAACCTCGGACTATCTGGTTGCACACTGCAAAAAATGAATTTTTTTTTAAATAAGTGCATTTGTCCTTGAATTGAGGAGATAAGTGAGACAATTTGCCAATGGAACAAGACAATGGACATGTAAAATAAGAAATTACAACTGCATTATCTTATTTCAAGTGCATATTATCTAATGATCTTATTCCAAGATTAAAAATACTCATTCCCCTGGCAAATCTTCTTATTTATCTGCTAAAATTAAGGGTAAATACACTTAATTTAAGAAATGTATATACTTATTTCTAGATTGTTTTTGCTGTCCACAACAAACTGATGCATCTAACACTTCTAACGCCGCAGTAAACGCATGCTCACATACTGTGTTTGTACGTTGCAGTGTATATACTATGCTAACTAAAAAAAAAAAAAATACATGCAAGTGCTACAAAGGCGGGACAGCGGCTCAGGAGGCAGGAGTTCTTTCTGTAGGCTGTGGGTTGGCAGTTCAAGGCCTAGCTCTAGCAGCTGTGACATTGAGCAACACACTTATCCACCTAACCAGCTGTTGGTGGAGGAAGAAGCCAGTGGCCCTGATTTTTCCACCTGTCACCCTGCCCTGTAGAGGATGCTCACTGTTGTCCATCATTTTCTTCACAATGAAGGACTCCTCTTCGTGAAATCGCCTCCAGATGTTCTAGAAGAGTTCCTAGAACAAAGCCGGCTTTCTTTAACAGCTTCTTGAGCTCTTTTAAGTCATTTGCTCTGATGCTGTTTCCCCGGCAGATGATGGCAGAGAAGATCAGATTCTCCACAACATACTGATGTAAGATATGCAGCATCTTGCTGCAAACTCTAAAGGACCAAAGCTTCATGAGGAAGTACAGTCTGCTCTGAACCTTCTTCTAGAGAGCATAACTGAAGCTCTGTAGTTCTACAAGGACATCTAGAGGTTGCTTAACTTCATTTTTAGGATCACACACCAAAACCAAGTTTTTCAAAAATTATATATATATTTTTACATTTTTTTAATAGTAGCGAAGTCGGTAGAGTATAAAACTCTTAATCTCATGGTTGTGATTTCAAGTCCCTCTTTGGTTTCAAGTCCCTCTTTATGCCCAATCCACCAATGCAGACTTTGAAATTGCCACCACCCGTAGGTGGGTTTTCTAGGGAAGTGGCGACTAGTGGTTAGGCCATAGAGTTTGGAATCCTGAGGTTCTGAGTTCAAGCCCCACTCCCACAGGCTGCCACTCTGGGTCCCTGAGCAAATACCCTTAACCCCCACACTGCTCCATGGGAACTGCACAATGCCACCCCACTGCTCCCCAAAGGGATGGGTTAAATGCAGACAGTTAATCTCGTTGCTTTTTACTTTTGACAGTGTAATGACTGAAGCTGGGGGGAAAAATTGTTTCAAGTTCTCAATGATGTCATTTGGTCTTAAATGTAAAACATACTTTCTTTCATTTTTTTCCAGTTATGCATTCTACACGATTTAACTTTGATAGCATGTTGCTGAAAACTAGAAGTAATCCCAGCTAACTAGTCAATAACCTGATTTCTTTGTGTTTTAAACAGGTTAGTTAAGGAAAATGAGGTGAAAAGGTGGAAAGACGATGCAGATAAAATGCGAGAAGGTAAAAGCATATAACTCTGCATTTCAGCTGCCACTTTCTGTTGATGTAACATACTCAAACTGCATGTTATCTGCTCAGAGACAAGGACGCTGGAAAAACGCTTGAACAAGAAAAAGAGGGAGTGTGAGGCCAAGAATAAAGAGAAAGAAGAGCTGATGGAGACAGTGAACAACATGAAAAATAAGCTTGAGCGAGAGAGCAACGAGCACAAACGGACTATGCAACAAGTGGAGGAGCTTAACGCTCGCTTGCAGCAGTTCAGCTCTGTAAGTTCTCACTTGAAAACTCAGATTAAAAACGTTTCTGCTTCTGCATTTTTTAGTTCTAAAGAAGCTCATCTCTCCTCTTAGAGCTCTAGTGTTCCAGGAGGGCCTCCAGTTACTTCTGGTGGTTTTGTTTCATCTGTATCTTCACCCAGTTCCCCTGCTCCTCCACCTCCTCCGCCTCCTCCACCTCCTCCTCCAGGTGGTCCACCAGCCTTTGGCATGGCTCCTTTAGCCCCTCCTCCTCCCCCTGGACTTCCTTTAGGGATGGCAGAAAAGAAGAAAAACATCCCTCAGCCATCCAGTCCGCTGAAGTCATTTAACTGGAGCAAACTACCAGAGGTAAACTTGACTTCCTTTCACTGTGTTATTTTCAAAGAACTAGTTCAGGTTTCATAGCAGCTGCAGGTTTAACTGTTCTGAAGCAAGTTTCCAGAATCCACAAAGACGATTGTAAGTTAAGCTTCATCTTCCATCACCTCTACTTAAGGTTTATCTATGCAACTGTGGACTGATAAACCTTGCACTCATCCATTATATCCCTCCTAACCAGGGAGACCCTGACATCCCTCTCCTCAGGAAAGTTCTCTAGTCCCTCAGTGGAAATCCTCTGGAAGCATCTGAAGGGCATCCTGATAGGGGTTCTGAACTGTACAAGGACCTTACTTTGACTTACAAAAAAGAGAACTCTTAGGCCCAATTTTCAAACATTGTAATCCAATTACTTCAAGAAGATTTATAGTTTTGACATATTTTAAGTTTACCTTCTCTGTACTGTAGACTTTAGAATAACAGTCAAAACAATGAGCTGAAATAATGACTTTTAATGATTCTGTCTTATCAATCGACAACAATAATAGTTGATTGTATTATTCATTAAGGAAAAACAATATAAATTCTTCAATATTTGCCTCTTGAGCCACCACTACAGACTAGTGCAGCTTCTACATTATAGCAGCAGCCTCACCAAACCGTTTTACAATATGCTGCTCCATTTTCCCCTCAGTCATGAACAAGACGCCAAGATACTTGAACTTCTCCACTTTAGACAGGAACTCCCCTCGAACAGGAATGAGGAAAGCCACCCTTTTCCACTCAGAAACCATGGCCTCGGACTCTGAGAAACTGATCTTCACCCAGGTTGGCTGAAAACCACTCCAGTGCATGTTGTACTGTAGATCTTGGCCGGAGGGAGCCAACAGAACCAAGTCATTTGCAAAAAGCAGGGACTAAATCTGCCGTTCCCTATACCGGATCCCCTCCGTCTCTTGGCTGTACTTAAAAGTCTTGTCCATGACAAAGGGAAACCCTGCTGGAGTCCTACATGTACTGGGAACAGGTCCGACTGCAATTCAGAGCTGGCTTGCACAGCAAGCTAATAGCACCAACTAAAAGGACTCCTCGCTCCAGTCCACAAAACACATGGAGTATTTGGGCAACTCCCATGAACCATCGACCACTGTTCCACTGCCAGGACAAAAACAATATTGCCCCTCCTGCAGTCAAGATTCAATGCTCAGCCAGACTCCCTTCTCTAGAACCCTGGCATGGTCCTTCCTGGGGAGGCTGAGAAGTAAGATTTTTGATTACCTTAATGACTTTAGCCTGGGTAATGAAAACGTCTGGCTCCCGGTCTCTGTTTCCACCATGGAAGGTGTATCAGCCTTCCGAGACTACTTCGGTTCTTAACACCCCTGGCTAGCATACTGGATAGCAATCCTCTTGGGCACTCCATCATTTTGCTAGGGGACTTCAACACCACTGTGACATCTGTGCAATTAATGGATTGTCTACAATGAACACCATCTTCAAGTGTAATCATGTTCATCAGTACACTTGGCACCAGGACACCCTTAACTGGAGGTTGATGATTGACTTTGTAGTTAAATCTGCTGACCTTCAGATACGTGTCTTTGACACTCAGGGGAAAAGAGGGGCAGAGCTGTCTATCGATCACCACCCGGTGGTGATTTGGATATGCTGGAAGACGAGAAAGCTGAACAGACTTGGCGAGTAGTGATGCTGTAATGGATGCTTTCAAGTTGAAGAAGGAGTCCCATTAGCCTGATTTGCTTGTGAGACTCCTTGTAGTTGTGTGGTCTACTGAAGTTGTCACAACACTGACATTTATTATTGTGTGAACATAACCCCAGAATGATACCGTAAAATACCGACTCTGCAGATAGTTTATCATGTTTTCATCAAATTCATTGCTGTCAAAGGGATCTGATTATTTAAAACATTATTGCATAATCAAAGCTCTAAAGATGTTTGTCGTTGTTTCAGACCAAGATAGCAGGAACAGTCTGGAAAGATATCAGTGATGAGGATGTGTTCAAAGTTCTGGATCTTGGGGAGTTTCAGAAGACTTTCTCAGCTTACCAGCGAGCAACAGTAAGACAACATGCTTTCATTAAATCCACAGGAAACACATCACATCAGTCAGTTTAAAACATGCTCTGGCCATAGCTAGGGTGGCTGGACTTGGTGTATTTAACATAGCTGCTGGTCTCTGACATATCTGTGTGTGTTTTTACAGAAAGAAACTGGAGGAACTGAAGCTGTTAAAAAAGTCAAAGAACTGTCAGTGATTGATGGCCGCCGAGCGCAAAACTGTAACATCCTGTTGTCACGGTCAGTAACTGGGTCTAGTTTAGGGTCTCTCAGCTCATTAGTGCTTCCGTTTATTGGTCTAAGGTTTGCTGACAATGTCAGTCTTTAAGTTTTTTAGTCTAAGGACCTATTTTAGGGTTTATTTATTTATTTATCTGGTCCAATTATTGGTTTGTGGGCCATTTAAAGAACCTGCTTGTAGATACTGATAAGAATTGGATTTGTTGTTTTTGACACAAGTTGCATCTCAGAACCCGTGTCTGGGTTTTGGGATGTTTCCTTTAGTGTTATCAAGTCTTATAACCTCTTTTCTGGGCCATTGTCAGTTTCCTAAATATTTCAAAATTTTAGATTTGTTTATGAGTTTTGATCAGTTTGCTGTGTGCTTCATTTCCAGAAACAGTTTCCAGGTCTGTCTGTAGTTGTTCGTAGTTGTTGCATCCTGGAGGACTCTTGTGAATAAGTTCTGAACGTGTCATTTGTGTGTAACAGACTAAAAATGACCAATGAGGAGATCTGCCAAGCTGTCCTGAGCATGGACGATCAGGAGGAGTTACCCAAAGACATGTTGGAACAGGTAGGAAACTCACAACCGTTTAGGATGTGGAGATAGAACCTTGATTTCAGTCTTTGTAACTGACGATGAACTAAATAGATTCTTTTTTATGTTCTCTGTGTATTAGCTCCTGAGGTTTGTCCCTGAGAAAAGCGATGTGGATCTCTTAGAAGAACACAAACATGAGCTGGAGCGCATGGCTCGACCTGACCGCTTCTTGTATGATATGAGCAGGTATGTAAAAACAAAAGTCTGAAAATGGCAAAAAATCCTGTCTGCTGATATATTTTTCTGGGGTGGAAGTAAAGTTGTTGAGAACCAGGTTCAGGGTTCAATGTGTTTTGGTCCCATTTACCTCGGGAGGTTAGCTCCAGTTTCACTTGAAGCGTCAAAGAATAAGTTGTTATACAAAGAGGATTCAGGGGAAGCGATTTTTTTTTTGTTTCAGTTTTTTTTTTTTTTTGGACGTTTAATGGAAATTAATAAAAAGAATATACAGCAGGTCTAAGCCTCAATATCGGATCTTCTTCAAAGATACCAGTACTGTAAAATAAAACTCTACCCATTTGGTAGGAGGCAGTTGGATCTCTATCAGTGAGACCAGTAGGGTTGGATCAAAGCCATCTCTGATATTTTCTTCTCCTAAACCAGAATCAACCACTACCAGCAGAGACTCCAGGCTCTTCACTTCAAGAAGAAGTTTACTGACCGAATGTCTGAGGTCAAACCTAAGATCAAAGGTAGAAATTCATAATTGTCTGTACTGCGATCCCCGTTGTCCATTTCCTCATTGTGTCTTTCATTTTAGCTCTCAGCCTTGCCTCAGAGGAGGTGGTCCAGAGCAAGGCTCTCCGTCAGCTGCTGCAGGTGGTTCTGGCCCTTGGGAACTATATGAACAAAGGACAACGTGGAAACGCCTATGGATTCAAGGTTTCTAGCCTAAACAAGATGGTCGACACCAAATCCAGCAAGGACAGGTATGACTCAAAACTCAGGCTGTGCCCAAACATCCAATCTAATCTATAAATCCCTCAGTCACTATATAGAGCAGGGACTATATAGTGGTCTTTATAGTGAACTCAGTTAACTGGCTGTTCAGACAGATGATCACTGCTCCGCCTCCCAGCTCTCTCAAAGCAATCTGGGATATATCTGCTCATCTGTGACCATGGAGGATTACTATATTTTTAGGTGTTTTGTGGGAAATTTCAAGTCCACTATGTTTTCATCCACTACACGTTCAGACACTCATCTAAAATTGCGTAATCACTATATAATGCCCTATATAGTGATTAGGGCTGACTTTCGGACACAGCCTCAGTCAGATAGACAGATACCAAATAATTTTTTTTGATGCAAATGAGCCAAATTAGCTGGCTGTCAGCAGACTACCTGTAGTAATTTGATGTTTAGGTATTAGTGACTGTTTATTTTTAAATTTTTCTAGGAACATCACTCTGCTGCATTACATGATCACTGTGCTGGAGAGTAAATTTCCTGTAGCAGCATCATTCAGCAAGGAGCTGCAGAGCGTTCCAGAAGCGTCTAAAGTCAAGTAATAGGAGCACATACTCTCTGAAACAAGTGTGCTAAACTGATTTATTACTGTTTGAAATGCAATCAGTAATAACCCCTGTTACTTTTTTATATTGACAGCATGACCGAGTTAGAGAAGGAGATCAACACCTTGAGATCTGGTCTGAAGAGCATTGAGGCGGTAAGATCAGTGAAAGTATGAAACACCTGCTGAGCTGCGTGGGATTGACATTAACCTGGGTGTGGTTGTATGTAGGAGCTGCAGTACCAGAAGAACCAGCCCACCCAGCAACCAGTTGATAAGTTTGTGACCGTGGTCAGTCAGTTCATTACCGTGGCATCCTTCAGTTTCTCAGATGTAGAAGATTCACTTCGAGAGGCTAAAGACCTGGTGGGTTTCTCATTTTCATTATATCCAGGTTGTGTTGGTCTATATGTTTCATTCACATGTCTTTTGACCTAAACGTTCTTTAATTATGTATGTTTATATTAGAGGCGCTTTCATTATTACTATTGAATCTCCAGAGCTCTGGTAGTGCAAAAGTTCAGCAAAGAGAGTTTAGCGTGGTGTTGTAGGTCACACAACTCCATATTAATTACGTGTTTTCTGATGAAGTTTGGAAAGGCGCTGACATACTTTGGAGAAGAGTCGTCTAGCCAGCAGCCAGATGACTTCTTTGGGATCTTCAACACTTTCCTCTTGGCGTACTCTGAAGCTCAACAGGAGAACGAGGACATGGTCCGCCGGCAGGAGGAGGAGAAGAAACGGGCACTCATGGAGGCTCAGGTCAGTAGAAATCTTTATCAGCTATCAGTCACAGAGTTACCTTCACAGTGTCTCCTTGTTAATTAAATAAAGTCCATCCTTACTTCCCTGCTGCTCCTGCAGATGAAGAAAGAGCGGGAGCAGAGGATGAACAAGACCAAAGGAGTGCAAGAAGAAGGAGGAGAGTTTGATGACCTGGTGTCTGCGCTGCTCTCAGCTGAGGTCTTCAACAGAGATTCGTCCAAATTTAACAAAAAAAAGCAGCGCAGTCCCAGAGAACTTGGCAGCCGAGAAAGACCAACGGCAAGCCTGAGCAAGTACCAGGACAAATAATAACCTGCATGAGTTCCCTGGGTCTGTGGCTGAACTAGCGTCACAGCGATTACAGTATAAGACCAGTAAGTGGTTCACTGGGACTGAAACTGAACCTTAGGATTTTTATTTAAAGTATAACAAGCACTGATTGACTAGAAATGACTCAGAAACAGGGATGGTTGATAACTATTAGCACCTTATTTTAACTGGAGTACAATTAGAATCAGATAAACTTCCAGGGACCAGAACTTTTTAAAAATTGGTTTCTCCAGAAACCAGTCAACATTCCATTTTTATTGTAACTCAATTTCTTTATTTTTCATCATCAAAAAACCCAGGAAGAGCTGAAACTTTCTCATCATCTCGAATGTACCTGGAGCCTCAGAGATGTTAAGGCTTTCAACACTCAAAGACATTGTTTTAAAAGATTCAGGAGCCACTGAAACCTGGGGCCAAACTAAAGGATTAATACTAGATTTTACCCCAATTCGGGAATTTATATAGTTTCTGCCAGTTGTGATCAATCTGCAGGGTGAGTCAGTTACAAAGTGTTAATTTGAGTAAAGTGGAAGATTTCAGGCGGTCAGTGTGTGAGGGAAACAGACACAACCCACCCTGACCTCAGTCGGAGTCAAACCAACATGTTTGGGATTTTTAAAGACAGATCTAACAGATAAGCACGACCTGATGAGTGATCCATCTACAAGAACAGAGAAGCTCAGACATGGCAACCGCAAAGAGACAACTTTCTGACAAAGAAAGCTTTTTGAAACGATGCACAGTTATAAACAAATTCAATTAACCAATTAACCTGGTAATAAGACAAAAAACAAACAAGAAAACAACACAGAGATGTTCATATATTTACAAATGAAATTCATATATTCAATTGCATCATAGATTTAATAGGACTGAGTTTTCTGATAAAAATATTTTGCACATAAAATGAACCTATATATTAAAACATTCTTTAGATTTATTAGCCAAAAACATTCCAAACATAATATTATCTATTAAAACATGATGATATTTTTATATTAATATTTATAGTCCAAAACAGACACAGACCCCCAAACAACATCCAAGAACCTTAACGCCCGATCTCTCCCTGGGTGCCGCACAATGGTAGCCCACTGTTCCCAAAGGGATGGATTAAATGCAGAGGTAAATTTATCATGTGTGTTCAATTATTAATGTATGTTAAACCGATTAAGGATATAAAAGTCTCCCTCAGATATTTACAAAACCAAAAGTTGATTGTTGATGGATTTTTGAAATATTATTGGACCAATATTTAATTGATTCGTAGAAGCATTTGTGTTCTCATCCAACAGTTTGGCTCATGAGTCGACTCTTGTCGGTCTTTTCTGGGTCAGAAACTGAAAAGTTTGTGAATGATGTAGTCTGTGATCACTCTGCAGGTACAGCTGTGCCAATTATTCATTTTAAAAAAACCTTCTCTAAATCTGTGATAAAAATCCCCATCCTGACATGCAAACCCACCTGCCTATTCTGAGGTCATTTTCTTGTTTTTCTAGTATTTATTGTTAGTTAAAGGACAGCCATCATGTTTGTGGTGTAATCTGAGATGTGAACTGGGACCTGAATGCCATCTTCAGAGCTGTCCATATGATTCTAAAAGGGAAGTGCAATAACAGAACCATCGGTTGATTATTAATATTTATGTCCAAAATAATGGAAATAAATATTCCAAGTTGATGGTTCTGTAACATAAAGTAATTTAAGAGTTTAAAAAAGTAAATATTTAAGCAATCTGCTGTAAATAATCAGTGTTATATTGTCCTCAAAAAAGCTTAAAACATGTTCTAAGTATGATCTATACTGTATCTGTTTCTCTTGTAAAAGGGTAAAAAATAATAAAGTGTATCCTTTCTGTCTATGAGTCACTCTCAAGAACAATAAACTTAGTGTGAAAAAAAATCTCCAGTGAATACCTTATTCTTGACACATCATAAATCACACATTTGTCTGATAAGAGGTATCTTCAAAAAGCTGAATATAATTGAAAAGCCTTATTTTCATCGCTTTACTTAAAAGTTAAATTCATATATTACATAGAAAAGTGATGCATTTTACATGTTATAGTTAATTTTAAAACATATTGGAAACCCAAAACTCAAAAGATTACATTTTCACATTCGACCAGTGAATATGCAGTACTGGATGAAGTACTTCAGTGAAAGTATTGATACTTGTAGTCAAAGTTTAGTTAACTACAAGTAAAAGATACTTGGTCAAACAACTATTTAAGTTAAAGTATTGAAGTACTCACTTTTGAAAGTGAGTACTTTCAGCACAAACAGGCTCTAACCAGAGTTGAAAAAGAAGTGGGAGGCCGCGTTGCACAACTGAGCAAGAAGATAAGTACATTAGAGTCTCTAGTTTGAGAAACAGACGCCTCAGCTGGCATCTTCATTAAATAGTACCCGCAGTAGCCTGTTTCTGCTGTCCTCTGAAGGGAGTAGTACACACTGTTGAGGACGAAGAAATCTTCAGTTTCTTAGCAATTTCTCGCATGGAATAGCCTTCATTTCTAAGAACAAGAATAAACTGTCGAGTTTCAGATGAAAGTTCTCTTTTTCTGGCCATTTTAGCGTTTAATTGACCCCACAAATGTGATGCTCCAGAAACTCAATCTGCTCAAAGGAAGATCAGTTTTGTAGCTTCTGTAATGAGCTAAAAATTTTTAAAGATGTGTGAACATGATTGCACAAGGGTTTCTAATCATCAATTAGCCTTCTGAGCCAATGAGCAAACACATTGTACCATTAGAATACTGGAGTGATAGGTGCTGGAAATGGGCCTTTATACACCTATGTAGCAGTGGCGGCTGGTGAAAAATATTTTTGGTGGGGCTGATATAGCCTAGTGTATGTCTCCAACTAATCCAGAATAAGAATTCAAATAAACAATTGGAAATGAAATACAATTTAACAGTCATGATTTAATTTACTATATAATAACAGTAACAGTGATGATTTGGGTCACTGTGACGGGGTTCTTTGGCCTCCAAGAACCAGGCTCAGTCGGGTTACCGGTGTTGGTGATTTATTGTGCTCAAAAACTCAAAACAGGGTGCAAAAGAAACTAAACATATACAGTACAAGATACTCTGGGCCTCAGCCTCCCTCCAGTTACCAGCAATGTAACAAAGAAACAGAAAACAGAAATTGCCGCTCTTCTTCCCACAGCCCTCATTAAATAGTTTAAGCCCCTACCCTCAGACTCTCTTATTTCTGATTTCTTCTCATAAATCAGTTTTGTCCATATATTACCTCCACAAACAATTGATATACAAAAACAAATAATTTTTACAACTTAATTCCTTTACACAGATTGACTTATTCAATTACACCATACTGGGTTTGAACCCAGCAAAGACGCCGCCAGACTGAAGATGACAAGTCCCCGTATCATAAACACGTACACACACACACGGCTAACCCCACTGAAATATTAAGTGTGCACCCTCAATACGCCAGCAGGTAACCAGGAACAGCTTGTGTGTTTTAAGTTAATGGACCGCTACTGGGCTCAGCGCGAGTGTATTGGTCCTCACAAACACAGTATAACAGAAATGTGTGTGGCGCACAAAGTTAGAGAGGTTATTTTAAGTGACGAGGTGGATTCGTCACAGTCACAATAACCATGACAGGAAATTTTCATATCCTACAACAGGGATGTTCTTCTGGCAAACGGGTAGATAAATAAGGATCTCACAGAATTTGGTGGAAGCTGCATCTCGTTCGTTACAATCGCCATCGTCCCTCTAATTGCCTGCGCATTGGGTGCAGAAGCCTGTTAAAGTGCAGTATTTTCAGAGCCCCAACACCATACATTTTTGAGATGCTGATTGGCCATTAAATTCACCTAGCAATAGTACATGATTGGCAGATTCTATGCACTTGTGGTGCAGTCTAATTACAGCCCCAAGACAGAGACAGTAGGAGTCTGTCTGTGGAAATCCACAAATGAATAACAGTAGGTAGGGAAATGTAGTTTATATAATTTGTTTTGCTTATAGGTACACACTCTAGAGAGTAAAACTGACATTTATGAGTTAATTTCTAAAAATATATTTTACGTTTCTCTCTTCTTATCAGGGAGGGCGGTGCTCCAGTGCCCCCTATGGGCTGGCCGCCACTGCTATGTAGATATTGCACCAAAAACCAGATATTTGCAGCTAGAATAGTCATTTACCACATTAGCAATTTATAGAGTGTATTTCTTTAAAGTTAAGACTACTTTAAAGATATCTTCATTGAAAAGTACAGTGCTTTTCCTTCAAAAATAAGGACATTTCAATGTGACCCCAAACTTTTGAACTGTAAGGTATATATATATATATATATATATATATATATATATATATATATATATATATATATATATATATATATATATATATATATATATATATATATATATATACTCTGATATTATGGAGTCTTTTGGGTTGATTAAGAACACAATAGTGGCCCAATAATTAAAAATAATCCTCAAAAATACAACTTGCCTAATAATTCTGCACACAGTGTATATATCAAGGTATTAAATTAAATAACCTATTTTTGAATTGTGGCTTTTATTGATTTATTAATTGGAATAGAAGGTTAAGATGGACTGCCATTGTTTGTCAAATTGCTGACCCAAATTCTGCTTAGGTGAAACGATCATAACTGTTTTGTCTCCCCCTGGTGGAAGATTTTATATATAAAGCAAAGGTGCGTTCCTGAACCAAAACAAAAGCATGTAAATTCCATTAATACCAACAGATCCCCGAGACGCAGTGGATAAGATGTTTGACCTGGAACATATGGCTTGCCATAGTAACACGTTCTCTTCCGCCTCCGTGATGCGTTCAGGTGTAAGCGGAATGAAATGATTCATGTTGCAGAACTCCACTTCCTCAAACTGTAGTTAGTTTGTTTGGGTTCGTCGGATCTGAGACGGGGCAGCTCTCGGGTCCCTGTACGGCTGGGTGGAGGAACCATGGTGTTCGAGAACATCCAGTACGACGACATCCTGGTTGAAGCGGTACGTTATCTTTCTGCGTTCGAGGCTCAGCTCCAGGATTGTAGAAAAGGTTTGGGTCCATCATCATGATTGCGTTTGCGTGCAGGCTGTCGGCAGAGGAACCTTTGGGGTGGTCTTCAAAGCGGTGTGGAGAGGAAAAAATGTGGCGATTAAAACCATCGAGAGCGACGCTGAGAGGAACGCCTTCCTGGTGGAGGTACAGACCCATGATTTATGGCTCCAAACCGGGATAGAACCAGGATAAGTTCAGTTTAAGTCGCCCTGATGTGTGGAGGTTAAAGACTGGCAGAGAGGGGTCTGCACCATGCGCGGTTCTAGACAGGGGCCAACGGGGGCCAGTGCCCCTGTAGATCATGTCCTGGTACTGTACTAAAGACATAATACAAAGAGAAATTCTGATGATGATATGCACTGGAGCAGGCATGGTTTCTGATAGGTCCTTTGGATCCATTTCATTTTTTCTTTAAAAAATTCAGTTTTACTAATTATTTAAAACAATAAGGTGATAGCTTCAGTGATATTGAGATAGGATCCCAGTTTTCATCTGTTTTTTTTTTTTTTTTAAACAAATAAAATATTCTAACTTTTATAGCTGAATTATGCTTTTCTGTGCCCCTGTATGCTTTTTGGTAAAACTTTTTATACTTTCTTAGGATTCATACAGAAAATAGGGAGTTTATTGAGTGTGATACTGTCTCAAGGTAAGCCAAAAGTTTTATGGGACAACAATGGGAAAAGAGAGATGAAATAAAATAAACAGAAAGTTCAGATATGGATATTTAAGTTATAAAAGAACCAATGTAATCATAAAAAAATCAGCCCTTAATCAGATTCATAGATCAAATGCTGCCTTAAATAAAAAAAAGTTTTCATTTGTCAAATGAACATGAAAACACAACAAGAACCTGCGCTAAATAACATAATTTAAAACAAGATAAACTTTCTACTTATGACAGCAGGGTTGTTTTAATTTTTATTATGTTTTAACAGCTCACCTGCTGCTGTGCAAATCCTTAAACACCTTTTATTCTTTTAACTTTTCCCTTGATTACTTGTAGGAAAGCATTCACGGGAAGTACATAAATGAATTTGCTGGTTACTACAGAGGTAGTAACGAATACTAGCTAATATATATAATAATATAACAATAGTATTATTATTAGTATATTTTTTGCACTGTATATATTTGTCATTGCACTGCTCTGAACTTCCATATCTATGTGTTTTTGCACCAAGTTTTTCTCCCACGCTGCTTACATTTGATCACTACTTCCCTTTCCATCCATCCATCCATCCATCTTCCGCTTATCCGGGGTCAGGTCATGGGGTTAGCAGCTTCAGCAGGGGAGGCTCAGACGTCCCCTTCCCCAGCAACTTGGGCCAGCTCTGCCAGATCTGCCATTTTGTGTACACTCTGTGTATACAAAATGACAATAAAAGTTGTCTAAGTAACTAGTATGTTATAAGTATGTATCATGACCTCAGGCTCAAGCCAGTCAATACTGAATCAGAGAAATATATACAGTTCTGCACTTTCCTTGTAGTTTTAACTTCAATAATGTATTGATCTATTTAATATGATTGGGTCTAACAGTAAAGTAAATATATCTCTTATATTCTTTGTTCTAAACACTGATTTACATAAACAAACTATATCTAGTACAAGTCTGTCTTGTTTTATGTAAATTTATCCCCACTGAGTGATGATTAAAATTATTATTCTATTCTATTCAGGGCTGAAACCATTAATTAGATTAATTTTAATTAATAGTTTATTAAAATAGTCATCAACTTGTGTAGTAATTGATTAATTGTTAACTTGAGTATAGGGACTGTAAAACAGGCCTTTAGCTGACAGAGTGACCTACTTAGAGCTGTAATTAAACCAAAATAACTCATCTGTCAATATGCGCTATCCAGAACTCCACAAGTTTTAGTTTCACCTGGTTTGATTCTGTAAAAAGTCTTCCTTAAGGAACCTTTTGCTATCCGACTACTAATCAATTAATCGAAAAAATACTCGACAGATTAATCGATTTGCAAAATAATCATTAGTTGCAGCCCTAATTCTATTCTATTCTATTCTATTCCTCACGTCATCAGATCTTTTTTTTTAATGCTCCTTCCCTTGACCAGCACAGTGATGTACATGCCTGAACAGAAACCTCTAGAAAACCCAGACAGATGATTTTAACTCGGCGTTCTTAATACAAGTGCTTCTTATTTTCTTTTTTGTGCAGCTCCGCCAGCTGTCCCGGGTCAGTCATCCCAACATAGTGAAGCTGTATGGCTCCTGTGAGGACCCCGTGAGTATACAACAGATTACCGAGTTCTGGTTATGTTTTTGGTCCATTACAATGACGTTAGTTTAAAAATGTAACATAAAAGCTCTCATTAATTTGGTCAGGGTTGGACGTTTCTTAGGGATGGTGTTTTTTTTCCAGGAGTTTTTTATGTTTTTTTCTGGCCGGAAGAAACTTGGAAGGCGAAATTTACTGTAAATTTTTGTATCTTTTGGTGAATATTTGGCTTAAGCAGGCCCAAATCCAGTAATAACCTTAAGGTGGGGTTCAGTATCTATAAACTAGGGTGGTCTGGAGGCAGGAATAGCAGAAGATTAAAGGAAAAAAAAAGCCAGGTGGTGTAATCTGACTATACAATAAAGTGTTTTCCTACCATTTAAAGTCTGTTAGTAAATTATCACTTCTGCATTAAATATGTAATTCCTTGATGGGTTTTCTCTGGTCGGTAGGGTTTGCAAGTTCTGTTACCAATAGTTATTTATTCATTTAAATTTGTATTACATAAACTAAATTATATAAATTTGAATTATATAGCTTATAGCTTATGGATATATTGAGTTGACTTTAAAATGGAACAATCCCAGTTCTCCAAAATGTGATTTATTACCATGACTTTCTTCCAATAAACAATTTTCTTCCACTTGTCTGGAAGAAACTCAACCCTGTTTTTTTGATTAAAGGTAATAATTTTCCATATTACACAGCAGGTATATGGACCAATCAGTGAGTAGAACCACTTCAATTAGTAAAAAAGTGATCTCTTCATTCTTTAAACAATAGTTTTAATAAAATGATAATAAATTAGCATTATGTCATATACAGTAATATAAAGTAACATTAAATTTCTGCACAGATATGAGCTTTAATTGATTATTTCTCATCATAACTGTTACAGACAATAAACTAATAGAGAAGTTATCTGCTACAGTTATATTCAAAACTTCCTGTTTCCTCCTTTCAGCAGTTGTTCTGAGTAAACAGTGTTTTACATAGTGTAAATTTAACATCTTGTTTGTGATGACAGGTATGTCTGGTGATGGAGTACGCAGAATGTGGCTCTTTATACAACCGTGAGTCTCATCCTCTTATTTATCATTTAAAGGTATCGGAAAAACCAAAACGAAAACATTACAGATTTCTTCTGATTACATTTTTTTTTTTTTTAAGGGCTCAGATTTTAACATTTAAGATGATCAATCAAATTTCGCAACTTGCCTTTGAAATCACTAATAGCTGGTTTGGCAGAACTAATTCAAACATCAGATTGTTTTTTAAGCATTAAACGGCCTTCTAATTGGATTAGTTAGAGATCATGCTTTTATAAGCAGGAAATGACTTTTTCCACACAGCATGCATTTTTCTTTTAAAACAGTTTCACTCAGTTTACTTTTGTATACTATTAAGTATAAAACATTTAGTTATGACAAACAAAAAAATGAGAAAAGAAATCTGTAAGGAGTCGTTATAAGTTCCTAACATGTTGTGTTCAGTCCTGCACAGCGCCGACCCGCTGCCCCACTACACAGCCGCCCACGCCATGAGCTGGTGTCTGCAGTGCGCCCACGGCGTTGCCTACCTGCACGCCATGAAACCCAAAGCTCTGATTCACAGAGACCTAAAACCTCCAAAGTAAGAGCTCTGTCTGTAGACCATGATGCATGGTCCACCTGCACCAGTCACATTCAAAATCTGTTATTCTGCAGTTACCTTTTGTAAGTTTTTTTTTCTGATCTCTTATGATGAAATCTCTCATTTCTGTTTCAGTTTGTTGCTTGTAGCTCGAGGAACAGTGCTGAAGATCTGTGACTTTGGAACAGCTTGTGACATTCAGACCTACATGACCAACAACAAAGGCAGTGCAGCCTGGATGGCTCCTGAGGTGTTTGAAGGTCAGTGGTCTTGACCTTGAGGTCGTAGTTGCCCGAGCTTCTCCTTTACTCCTCTCGTTCTGTCGTGTTCCTCAGGGAGCAACTATAGTGAGAAGTGTGACGTGTTCAGCTGGAGCATCATCCTGTGGGAGGTAATAACTCGCAGGAAGCCCTTCGAGGAGATCGGCGGCTCTGCATTCTGCATCATGTGGGCCGTGCACAGAGGTGTGTGGTTCTCCAGAGTGCTATTTCTTCTGAAGCCTCGTTTTCACGCTAACCACCTGGTCATTTTGATGAAGGTACTCGTCCCCCTCTGATCAAAGACCTCCCTGAACCCATTGAGACTCTAATGACCCGCTGCTGGGACAAAGAGCCCAGCCAGAGACCGTCTATGAGCGAGGTCTGCGACACCATGAGCAGCTTGATGAAGGTAATATATAAAATATAAAAGCACGAGGCAGATTGAATCATAGAAACATCTGAAAAAAATATTACATTTCCAAAATGCCTTGCATGACTGGAGTTTAGAAACCTCCAGCTTTTGGGACCGTCACACTAATATCTTGTTGTTTCTGCTTTAGTATTTCCCAGGCTCTGATGAACCCCTTGATCTTCCTCACCAGTCTTCACCCTACAAAAGTGGCTCCTCATCTGCAGCAAGCACAGGTAACAAGTAACAAGGTTCTGGGTTCGGAACCTAAATATATATATGTATATCAATCATGCTTATCCCTGCTGGGGTAGCGAGGGGTGCTGGTTGTCTATCTGGGTACACCCTAGACAGGACTGCAGTCTATCGCAACACAGAGACAAACCGGACAATAACCATTCATGCACATACTTACAGCTAAGGAAAATTTAGGGAAGCCAATTAATCTAACAGTCATGTTATTGGACTGCTTTGGAGCTGGACCTGGAGAGAACCCATGCATGCACATGGAGAACATGCAAACTCCATGCAAAAAATGTATTAATGTTTGATTAAGATATAAACTGCATATAAACCTTTATAAAAAAAACAAAACATTTTTTTAATTCAACTTGCCCTGTCATGTTGGACTTAGACTTACCCTAACCTCACATCAGTGGGCATTCATAAATTACCTATTTACCTTTTAGAAATGGTTTCAGATGCAGTTTCTAAATGAATAAAACTGTTTTATTCATTAATATATGTTCCTTTTAGCATTAATTAATTAAATTTGATTTAAAAAAATACTTTAATAATCCCAAATGGAAATATGTTGCCACATTTTGTATTAAAAATCCAAGAAAATAACAAGGCTTTTGTAAAATAACAAATAATCTTTTGCATTTTTTGGTGGCTCTGCAGTCTCAGGCTACTGTTCTGTCAACTAGCAGTTTGGAAACAAACTAAAACTAGCAAAGCATACAGAGGCAGACCTATGCTTCAATATTCTGGTTGAAATTTTGAATTGCCACTACCTGCTCCTGATTTTTTATGAGCTTCTCTGCATTGACACCATTTGTTACCTTTGGCTAAAATGTGCTTTATTGAATCAGTCTTTCCTTTGCCTGGTGTAGATTATCTCTAATCCAGGACAGAAGAAGGAGAATGCAGCTGGACGTCTTCTCTTGTGTCTTGAAGACGTTTCACATGTCATTAAAAAAGCTTCTTCGGTCATTTTTCAGAGAGAAGAAGTTCAGTTTCCCGCGGTTTAAGTCCTTTGGGGGCATTCGAAAGATTTCTCTGAGAATTTCTGCAGCTTTTATTGCAAAAACAGTCTGTGGTTGAAACATGTTTTCTCTTATCTTTTCATCTTTGTTCAGGGTCATTTGCTCTCACGTCATGTCAGGTTTAGCGCTGTAGTTGCCATTTTTTTTCAACGTTTTATTTCATTTTTTCTTTCAAATAATGCTAAATATTAGATTTTGTATAACAGTTTTTCCTGAAAACGTACATCTGTTTCTAGGTTTTAAATACCTACATGTTTGAGCAGGAATGTCAGCGTTTTCCATCTGATTACACTAAAGATGCTGCACTGAACTACAGGGGGTATTAAAAACAGACCACCTGTGTGTCTGGTTCAAACTGAAACCAGGTCAGATCTCAGCTGGAGAAGAAACTAAAAAAAATATAGAATAATAATAGTTTTTTTTTGTTAGGAATAATTTTTTTAGGCTGAGATTTGAGGTATGAAGGTTAAAATGTGTTTATATAAATAATCTCGCAGTTATAAACAGAAGAGGTTGGTAAATATCTGTGTTTTTGTCTTCAGGCTCATGGGCCGATGGAACCATTAACAGCAATCGAAGCGACGAAACCAGACACAGATCGTCAACTGGTGGTGAGGAGCAGAATTCTGAGACCAGAACCCCTCTGCAGGTCTGGACCCCAAAGGTAACAGAACAATAAATTCACAACTGTTTGAATGAGCCTCGCCTCCTGACGAGTGATCCAACAGAACCTTCTGATTCTCACCACCAGACTCCCTCATGGTTGTCCACTGTGTCCAGGACCTCCAGCTCAGAGAATCAGAGCCCCCTCAACACTTTTAACCAATCAGAGCTGAGAATGACGTTTTCTCCTGCAGGTATGGTGCATTTAAAGCAGGTCGTCGTTCTCCTCCAGCACCATCACAATTAAAAGCTTCCTGTCGTATCTGTTGCCTCGAGTAATCAAACATCAGTAGAGTCACATGACAGTCAGAACAGTATTGCTACTTTACGGCTGTTGCTGCTCATGCAACAAATCGCAGCGAGACTTTAGCATCAGTTTTACAATGAACTTATTGTTACGGGGATTTCACTTTACTGTGGCTTTGTGTTCAGGTACTGAAGGATCAGAGAGTCCAGTACATCCAATGTATCAGAAGCTGGATCACCAGTTACAGGTAAGTTCACAGAACTTTTTTCTTGTTCTTCTAAGGTGTCCATCCTGATAGTGGTTTCAATTTGATAAATGTTGACCTGGGAAAAAAGAGCATATTTCTCCAACCTTTTTCTGGTTTTGTTTTAAAAGTATAGTGGAGGGTGTTCTTTTTCCAAAATTAGTGGTCCTAATTGTCAATCATTTTGGTGATATGTTTACGTAAGGCCTTCCTACGTGCTCGTCCTCAGTTAGCTGTCTTTTTCTGCGTATGCATACTTTTCTGTGGTGAGCAACGGTTTCAGCCAGTCATTGTAGCTCGCCTTTCTCACCTCGTTATTTAAAAATGGCTGAGCGTCTAGAAAGTATATCAGAAGAAAAGGAAGGCCTCAGAAGAGAGAAACAAGACAAGAGTGTTTTTGGGAGATTCTTTCTGGCGATGGCGTACACTGAAATCACAGGTCGGGCTCCCCACTGATGCCTCGGTTGCAAAGTTTCATCTCGACAGGTGAAGTTTGGCATGCTATTTGGAGACATCCATTTCACATCACTGCTAGTAAAGTTATCTACCTTTTTATTGTAACTTTCCAGGGAAGATAACTTTATTTATTTCATAATTTACATTATTAGGAGTTACACTGCAAAAAGCATCTAGAAATAAGTAAAAAATGTCTTAAATTAAGTGTATTTACCCTTAATTTGAGCAGGTAAATAAGATGATCTGCCAATGGAATTAGTATTTTTACTCCTAAAATAAGATAATTAGATAATATACGCTTGAAATAAGACAAAGCATTTTTTTTCATATTTTAAAAGTTAATTGTCTTGTTCCATTGGCAAAATGTCGCACTCCTCAATTCAAGAAAAATGCACTTAATGTGAGCAAAAATTACTTACTTAGATTTCCATTTTTTGCAGTATATACGGTGGCCACAGATCCTTATTTACCCCGTGAACATGTCCGATTTTCCACTGCAGCGTGCACATTTAAGGATGTCGTGATTTTTTTTATGTACCAGTAGTCTTATATGCAGGGAAACTTTATAAATATGTGTGAGATGCGATCCGTCTGAGCGACCATCTTATCATTGCGTCCCTGCACCTCCTCGAAGAGAAATTGCCTTGTGCATGCTCTCGCTTGCGTTTAATAGGCGTTGCCTCACGGGAGAGGGTACTGCATTGTGCATTTGTGTTTTTTTTTTTAAGTGGAGAGGGCGGGTCTTTTGAAACATTTGCAAAAATCCTCCACTATACCTTTAACAAATAAACCACATTCTGAGTGCACAAAGTTAAGTTTTCAGTTTACATTATAAGGTAAATTTGATTAGTGCATCTTGGATATTCCTCTCTGATTGTTTTGCTCGCCTTCAGCCTCTGGCTCCTTGTCCAAACTCCCGGGAGTCCATGGCGGTTTTTGAGCAGCACATCCGAATGGCCCAAGAGTTCCTGAGAGTCCAGTCTGAGATCGCTCACCAACTGAACAGAAAGTAAGTTTTCTTCCACCTGCTGTGGAAATTCTCTTCCTGTCACATGCAGCAGTTCAGTGTTATAACTGAGTAAAGCCTGTAGTTTCCTCTTACGTTCCACCTGTGGGTTTGTTTAACCAGCTGGGTTCTGATGCTTTCTGTTTAGAGAGGAGCTCATGGCAGAGCTTGAGCAGGAGCAGAAGGAGCAGCAGACCTCTTCTCGCCTCATGCAGGAATACAGCAAGCTGCTGGAGGAAAACAGCAGCCTGTCGACTGTCTGCCAGGACCTGAGGAGTAAGCTGAGCCTGATCCAGAGTCAGAACCAGACCTACAGCTGAAACTGAGCCCTGCTGCGTCTTCCTGTTCCTGATTCTGGTCCATGGACCTCTGCCCGATGAAATGTATTAGGTCAACATCTGCATCATGCTGGACCCATTCCTTTAGCCCACTGCTTCCTGTACCTAAGCAGTCTGTTATGGAGCCGGGTCCAGAGTGGGAGTGATCCTGAGGAAAACAGCTGAAGTTCACAGTGAAGCTTAAGGGACTTCTTACTGTTCTTCCTCCTCACTGTTAAAAAACTTCAGATCAGCTGATGAACCGCTGAGGCAAAAACTGAAGAAACGTGAGCACTGATTTTACCCAAGCTCCCCCATTGAACTTCTTGAATTTTGTACTTTTCCTTTTCTATTTTTATACTCTGAACTTTCTACTCCAATAAAAATGATTTTGTTCAACCAATAAAGGACAAACAAAACGTTTTTACAAAATAAAATGTACCTTCAAACTTTGTCCACCTGACTGTGTGCCTCATGTTTTTCTATTTTAGACCAGCAGACGTCACCGTTTTCTCCAGAATATTAATGCTGAATTTGCCTCCTTTTTACCAGACAAATAAGATTTCAAATGTTCTCTTTAATGGGATTCTGGAAAGTTTGCTCTAGAGTACAGCTTGTAGTCAGTCATGATGAAGAAGTAACTGTGGTTTATGCTAAGCTGAAATCAAACTCCATAACCTCAAGAAATCAGATTTTCTCACCTAATGATTAGGTTAGTATGGAAGATGATTAGGGCCACTGGAAAAAAAAAAAAAAAAAAGTTAACGGATTTTTAATTTTTATTTAATTTTAACATAAGGAAAAAGTCTAACTTTAATCTCAGAACTCTCACTTTAATCTCAGAACTCTCACTTTAATCTCAGAATTCTGACTTTAATCTCAACATTCTGACTTTAATCTCAGAATTCTGACTTTAATCTCAGAATTCTGATTTTTTTCTCAGAATTCTGACTTTAATCTCAGAACTCTCACTTTAATCTCAGAATTCAGACTTTAATCTCAACATTCTGACTTTAATCTCAGAATTCTGACTTTTTTTCTCAGAATTCTAACTTTAATCTCAGAATTCTGACTTTGATCTCAGAAATCTGACTTTAATCTCATAACTCTCACTTTAATCTCAGAACTCTCACTTTAATCTCAGAATTCTGACTTTAATCTCAGAATTCAGATTTTTTCCAAATT